CAGTTCCATTACTTAGGGAGTGGAAAAGGGTTAAATACTTTGAAAATCTGGCTCTGGACTTTGTTCTAGTGAAGCAAGAACAGAGAAAGAGGCGTTATTCATTAAAGCAAAAGAGACCAAAAAGGCCTCGCAGATAGTACTTCTTTACTTCGTTAGATTAACTGTATTATATTCTGGTCAGAGAGGCAATATGTTTAGTGCATTCTGCCATATGAGAAGCTCTCTTTGGTAGACTACCCTGAACATGCTCCCCAGGTAGGGACAGACTGTTTTTCTGCCTGGAGGCAGAATGCAAGAGCTACATTAAAAAAATGGGTATGTAGTAGGGATCTGATGCCAGGAACACTGTTTTGTTTTTCATATCTCATCAAAATACTTATTTGCCCACCATTGTATTTTACTAGGAAATGCTGTGATAATCATTAGCAATTATGCACACCCATGAACAGAAAAGGATGCTACTGCAGGAACTCTGTATTTGCAATTCACTGGCTAGGAAGTCCCTATCCCATTGCCATTGAAATCCAAGGCAAAATTCACAAAGGTGCAACAGTAAACATTTCATGTGGAGCTTCAAGGTCAAACTCAGTACTGTGTGAAAACTCTGAAATCCAGTTAGTTCCAAAAAGGATGCATATGCACTTAAGACCTAGTGCAATGGAAAGGTGAGGTACAAATACAGAAGGTGGGGTAGCTTGGTTCCCTCTCTGAACCAGAGGGCCATGGCTAGGATGCTGTGGGACCCTAAGTAACATCATGTAGATTCATGCATGCTCATTGCAAGGTTTCAGTCATTAGGGTTCTCACAAATTCTAAAAAACCCACTCATTCGCATTTAAAACTGGTTGTTTTATATCCCTACATCAGAAAGCGTATTTTAGAAGATTTTTCAGTTAGGAGGAGAGAAAATTTTCCCCTATTTTCTTTGGAGAGAACATTGGATTGCAAATGATTTTGTCTTTGAATTCTGATTTGGAATGTAATAATGTACAATCCAATGTTTTACACTGATTGGTGTGAAGCAGGGGAAAATTCAGGAGGACAGAGTACTCATTAGTTGAAAAGCAGGTGGTAGCCAGCTGGAAAATAATCAGAATAATCTTGCCTAGCTTTGTCTTTTTACTGGTCTGAAAGGACAGCCCCAGAAACACATTCTTAAAAAAATAGAGACTTTTACTATTGAGGTCAATTTAGATGGAAGGGCTATTAATAACTTTTGGGGGTCTGAGCAGGTGAGAGAGAGCGATGTTCTAGATCTGAGGAAGCTCTTACCAATCTCTTCAGACATAGATCTTCAAGAGACCCTGTATCCTCTGACTGCAGGGTTGGGCTCAACACTCAAAGTATGCCCCAGTACTGTCTGGAAAGATCACCTGGTTTCATTCCACTTTTCTTTAAATAAATTCTTTTTTTTTGGCTTGACTAATTAGCTGTAGGAAGAAGGAGATAACTTTTCTGTTTACATAAAAAGAACCTTGGAACTGGAGACCCTCTGCACATACCGATAACAAGATAAATAAAAGATGTTTGCTACCTAATATAGGGGATAAAGACTAACTTTTTGGTGGCAAAACACAGTCTTTTTCCAGTGCAAATGGTTTGAATAAAAACTAGGAAGTTTTACACCTGGAAATGCATTAACCATTTTTTTATTTGTTGGAATTTTTAAAAATATTGTGGTTATTCAATCTATTCCTCAACATTCAAACAGAAACAATATAGTGGAGGTTTATAAATCTAATTAAAGACTTTCTTAAGCCAGTTTTTGTGTTGTGTGATTTATTTAATGTACCTGCCTGCATCCTCACCTGTTGGTACATGGAGCTGCAACAAAACTATTATCAAAATGCACAATCTTTCTATAAAATCACCACATCATTTATACAGTATTAGACCACTTCCCTTGTATATGACGTTCTGTGTGGAGCACCATTCTGTGTTCTCTTGGTGGGTTCAAAAACAGATGCTTGCAGAGTTCAAGCCTGAGGCAACAATTTCAACAATTTTGTGTCCTTATAGCGGGTATTGATATATATAACTCTATACAGTTATATTTATAGCCAGACATGTTTTACATGTATATGAATATATAATTCTCTCTGTACTATATATATTCTCTCCATACACATTCTTATACACACACATCCCTGTGTGGCAACACCAATACAGAAAAAAGATTATCTGTATAGCTATGCCACCTCCGGAGGTAAAAGTAAAGCACATCTCACAAGTGTTATGCTGCAACTACTTTTTCTGAGTTTTCTGTGTTATACAGTCTTGAATGATTGCTGCATTGTACCTAATTTCTACTAAAAATCTGTGAAACCAAATAGAACTCATGTTCCTGAAACTGGCCTTTTGCTTTGGTACTTGACAATGAAATATGGCTGTAGCCATTGACTAGACTTGTCAAAATGCCTGAGATAAATTTTAAATACTTGCTAGTTGACTGAGGACACTTCAGCTTGCATCCATAGTGTTCATTACCTTGTATTTCTGTCTTGTGAAGGAAGAACAGTCATGTTATCACAGTAATCAGACAAAATTACATTAATAAGGACTACTGCTTGAAGTGTCTGGAGACATACAGAGTCAATGGTCCTTAGAAAATAATCTAGCTCTCATTCTGGAGATGCTCTGTTTGAGGAGAGGATTAAGAGATAATACCAAAACAGAGAGGTGTTCTTCAAGCTGTACCTCTTTTCTAGATAACCATCAGACTCTAAGCCTCTTGAAGTCAGCAACAGCGTCTCTACTATCTTCAGCAGAATATGAACACTACCTAAGGACGTGTCAGTGCTGAAGGCTGTCAGTCCAACAGATGCTAACAGTCACTCATCACTCATTTTTATTTAGAAGACTTTAAAATCAGAAGACATTCATTTTAAAGCTTTTAATTCTAAAAACAATGCTAAAATAAAGCAGAAGAGTTGAAACCAAAGTACTGCTACAGAGTAACATATAACAAAGCACATGCTTTCACGTTCACATTTAATAAAAGACCCCATGATATGCACCTTTCTAATAAAAATGTAAAAAATGCTAACTCATTAAAAGAATAATGTAAACTATATTAAACATCATACAGCATTATATTAGAGCAGAGAGTTTCACAATATCTAGGTAGCCTTTGAATAAAGGAAATGGTTATTTCGAAGGACATCTCTGTGCTCTGGATGACTGAAAGGTTTATTTTGCTATGATTACAAATACGGTAACTAGTGTACCACGTACGAATAAGAAATTTAAAAATAGGAATCTTTTAAGTTTAGGAAAAAAATGTGAATCCAATTAAAAATTTTAAATTTAAAAAATCTGGCTGGACTCTGTGTTGGTATCTCATGTGACAAGATCAGCTATGTGAATGTCCCCTTCAAGTGGCAGTATTCCCACAGACTGCTGAGACAGAATTTAACTCAGAATGTTCTCTATTTTTCTGCGAATTTCAAACATGTCTTCCCTAATTTGAAAGGATTTAGCTTTCTACCTCTGTTAGCATCTCTGAAAAAATATGTTACCACTGCATTTAATTCCCACAGAATCTGAAGAAGGACTGCAGTATGATTTGCTATTACTATCACACAGCACATATTCAGCATTAAAAGTATGCTAGCTACTTGGGAACATGGACAACTAGTCAGCTGCTTGTTTAAGCTGCACAAATATATACCAGAAAAATTGTATCTACATGTGTGGTTTTGTACTTGAACCTAGGACTGGGGACAGACTAAAGGGTAAGGGAGCAGAATAAGGAAAAGTAAATGCTGCTACATTACTCATAGTCTTTTTCACCTCCTCACAATTGGCTTTGGCCAGTTCAGGTAACATTGTGGTAGAACTACTTGACTCCTGGTATCCTTCCTTCCTCTGTTTTCCGTACCTAATTCTGTTAGACCATTTGTTAATCAGTTCAACTGGAACTGGCTAAACTCCTCAAAATAGGCTAGCCCTGAAAGGTAATGTATTACCATAAATAAACCCCTAAAAAGTATAAACAGGGTCTACTATACATATGCTTTGTCTTTACAGAAAGTCAGCACCAGCAATGCTTACAGATCCATGCTATAAACAGATTACTCCACTTGTAGTTACGGGTCTCTCTTTACAGGAAATGCTTGCTCAGGAATGACCGTTTCTAAACTGTGTCCTAAATTGCACAGTGACTCAGAGGGCTGCCCGATTTCACAGTCAGACAATTAACCAGCAAAATTAGGTTCACCACCACTTTAGTCAAAGCAACTCCATAAGCTAAGCTAATGTTAAGAGCACTTTTTAAGGGAAACTCCAGAGCAGCTAAAGACAAGAACAGCTGTAAGGAACTCTCTTCTGTTTAACAACAGCGTGCAATGTCCTTCATTCCTCTCCTGAGATTTTTCAGATCCCCGTACCAATATGGCAGGTAAGTTTGACTCTATGGAAATACCCCACACTTTCTACATTCTTATTTCTATGCTCCAGGCAATGGAAATGAAGAGGAAACAGGAGCCTAAATTCTCTGTTTGATTTGTGTCCATTATGATTGCACTGCTTCATCTCCTCTTTCAATTGGCTTTGCTTTCTAACAACACAATACACATCTCATTTTTCCCTTTCACAGGACAAAACCAATCACACTCACAAGGTGTAGCACACCACTAAATAGCAATACTATACTGGCTCCATCTTTCCTGTTGGAGCAGCTTACAGGCTGGAATGTCCAGCCACTTGGTTCTGAAGTGATGGAGGCTGCTGGCAGGGGACTACCCAGCAAAACCAAATCAACAATTAACACTGGGAGCTAACTTCTCCCTAGCAGTTAGTGGACCAGTCTTATGTGCCATTCCTCAAGATGAGATTTTGCTTTTTAGTATTTTTTCTGCCACTGGTGGGAGAGAGATACCTGTGAATGAAGTTTGACCTAATACATCTACAAGGCCAAAGGGGTGTACTATTTCTTCTCTTACTTCCTAATTCAGGAAGATAAACTAACAAACTAAAAGCAGGATGGTGTTAGTAAGTAGCTAGTAAGCAGGACATGAGAGAGGATCACTGGGAAGGACACCTGGTAGCAAACTAAACAAAGCTCTGTTGGGGTCCTGAGGAGTCACAGAAGTGCTGGCGACTGCCTTCTGGGTGGCAGAGGCTTTCTTACCTTCAAGCCAGCATGTTACCATATGTCCTTTCCCCTAAGGAAGAAAATGATTCATGGGGTTATAATATTATCCATCATTTGTGTAATCATCTTCTTACTACAACTCAAAGCAAGTCCCAAAAGGAGATTGATGTGCCTGAAAGCCATTTTACATACAGGAAAACTGAGGCATAACCCTTTTCCTTAAAAGGTAGTGCAGCACCATTGATTAAAACAATACTTTGAATTCCCATCCAAAACTGTTAGTCCTCTAATGGAACTCTTATGATGATTTATGATGCCTCTGAATGACTTTTTTTGATTTCAAGCAGTTAAAGTGATGTGCCAGGCAGTACTTCCAAGTTTGGCTAAGTCTTTCATCTCTGACTTATCAGGGTTGTCCCATGAACAAGCCCATGAAATTGGTCTTGGTTTAAAACTTGAGCCTGCTTTCTTCAGAGACAAGAAACAGTCTAACCCAAGGACTCTGAGACACAGAGGACCACACGGGTTAAAATTCAGGGACTCCAGAGTACTTTCACACTCTTCCTTCTGTAAAGCTGAGTATAAATGTTGCATACACACCTTGACTTGTAAATTCCCACGGCATACTAACACATACTCTCCAATCTGCTCCAACAGCTGGTATGCACTTGAACTGCACTGTATTTTAAGAGCTGGAAAGAGAGACAACTGTCATATTACTGTAACAATTTAAACATCTAAGACAGACCCATTCCTTGCTGTGTGTGAAAGACTTCAAGGCTCATTAATGAACTCTCACTTGCTTTTTTCATGTCTTTGCTGTCATTCCTCTGTTACTTGAAAAGTTCACACACAAGCTCCAGTATACTGGTCTATTTGTAAGACCATCTCAGGACAAATACGTGGCTGTCAACAAACACCACTCTTCATATCCTGCAGCTAATATTATTTTTCTACTCTTCATGGCTGCCTGGCTGGAGCTACTGATGAGAACCCATTTCATCTTGTGAAGAAAAACATTCATAGTTCTACGTCATGATCAATAAAGAGTCAGCACTTGCTTCACACATACAGTTTTCAGCAAAGTCTAAACATTAAAAAAACTGCCATCCTTGCTCTGCCTCCAAACCTGTACATAAAAACAGAGGGAAGAGATGATACTACCATAATTCCACTATTTTCTTTAACAATCTGATTTTTCATTAGTTGGGAATTTATCTTCAGGTAAACCTTGCCTGTTTTGCCTTTTGCAAATGATGGAAGAAGGACCAAGATGGAAGACAGACAGAACAAATTCTGAATACTCCTACTTTTGTCAGAAAACAAAATTGCCAAAATTTGGAAAATTGACCAAAAAAAACTAGGGTTAGTTTGTGGGTTTTTTTGGCTTCTAACATTCTGTGACACAGAGTAAATAATAATGCTTCTTTGTTTGAAAAAGATTACAGATTATAGTAGGATTGGTTAAGAGGGTCTTATTGATTTTTCTTGTATCAGAAAATATCTTTTGTTTGTTTAAGTGTTTTTTATTGAAAGTCATAAAACACTCCCTATAGACCAGAAAAATATATGTTTCAACATATTCAGATACATATCTCTGAAATATTATTTCCAGTTGATATGTGGTATTTTAACAGGTCATCCTGCTTGGAAACTAGATGGTAGCACTCAGATTTCAGCTGACAGCAATTTTAATTTACGCTGCTAGTAATTAAATAATCTATTTTAAAGTGAACATCTTACAGTTAAAAGATTTCAAGGTAATATGAGATCCTCAGATGTACATGGCCAGAGAAAGAGGGAGATAAAAGAAAGGCTTAAAAGATAAGAATCTCTGTCTTTATATTTAATTTTATAGTGTTGATGAGCCATACAAGAAACAGACTGACATACAGAAGATGAAATATGAAACATGATGGGAGCAGATTTCGAGAGCGCTAGTTTTAGTGCAGTTCAGGTGAGATGATAAAAGAAGCCTAAAAGGAGGTCGAGCAGAAAGAAAGGAGTTATCTGGGAGACTAACAGAAGGAAAATGAAGTCATATGTGGTCCACTCAGGCTAGCATTTGCTTTGGAAAAATGTATAAAATGGTGAGAAGGAATGGATTCTGGCTGATTCTCAAATCCCCAGGCTAGCCCTTCAAAGCCATTATGTAGTACGACTGCTCTGCCTTTCTGCCTTGTTTTCAGAAGATCATGATAGATGTTGAAAGCATCACTTTTTATCATTAAATTAAACATGAAAACACCTTTGATTTTGCTTAATTCAAATCCATTTACAAAGCATTGCAATGTAAGCCATAAAACTTTTCAACTTCATTTAATGAAAGAAACAGAAACAAGACTTTTTTTAGTTCTGGTAGGTCAGGCTAAAATATTTCAGAAACTGAGGTTCAGATATTCATACTGGCTAAAGATGAAGCTTGCTAAATAAACAGAGTTTTGTTATCTCCTGGCAAGAACTGAAAGTGAAGATATCTCTATTATTTAATCTCTTAAGTTTTCATAGTATCACAGAATGGTTTGGATTGAAAGGGAGTTTAAAGCTCATCCAGTCCAATCCCCCTGCCATAGGCAACGACACCTCCCACCAGACCAGGTTGCTCAAAGCCCCATCCAACCTGTCTCATCTGTTTTGCTGGAGGACACATAAGTAATCTTCTATACTGGTTAAAGACAGACACAGCTGCCATGGTGTCCTACAATCTTCTGTGTTCTCCATTAGATGAACTTATCAGTGAAAAAGAGGAGTCATGAAAATACGTTTACTTTAAATTCAGCTGGGTGCCAAGAAGGAATAGAAACAGTTAACATATCCAATTACCCCTCATTTTATCTGATTTTTACCCTTTTTTATTGTAGAGAACTTTGAAGTCATGAAAATCCCCCAATGAGACTTGAGGAATGAGGTGATTCTTGTGTAGAGAACATCACTGGCATAATATACCCATAGGGAGATTGGACCCAGAAATCAACAACCTCCTCACAGGATTTTTAGTAGTTTAAACAGAACAGGACTCAAAACTCACCATAACATTTTTTCAGAACTCATTAAGGCATGGTCAAAACCATGTCTGCAGTTTGTCCCTTGTTACCTTCACTGGTAGATTCCATCCTGGAAGCTGTCTTCACAGTATCTCCAAATAAACAATACCGCGGCATTTTGGTCCCAACAACTCCAGCTACAACTGCCCCTGTTAGAGAAAAGAAAACAGATATTTTGTGGTTTTAAAACACCTGTTCAGTCATACAGCCTCATGGCTGCTTCCTACATTACCTGATATCTCATGCATTAACAAGATACAGACCGAGTGACAGTATTGTCTTATATGGGTCATATATCTGACCTCAGATGGCTTCCAGACCCATGGAGGTAGTTGCAAAAGGGCCTCAGAGGAGAATGGTGAGGGAAGTGATGATGGGATGGAGGTAGTGTGCATGAATTTAGGTAGCTGCAAAATCATGTTTCAATATGACAACAGATTTATTTTGAGGGGCAGTGAGATAGGAATGCTGCCAATCAGAGCTGTGTGCACAAGGCTCACTAGTTACATGAAAGAGCAGGAACAGGAAGTAACCTGCTCCTCCTGAAAGCAAAAAATGAGTATTTGGATTCTTCCATGTCAGCCCAGGGGATTTAAAATACAGAAGACAAGATCTCTTGCTCAGGCAATATAAGCCCCTTAATTTGCAGGTGGTGGGCTGCAGAGCACACGTCCAACTCTGTCTGTCTATCAAGAAGGAGTTGCAATCACATATCAGCTTAGATCAGGGAGCTAGTACTATGAGACTGAATGCTCAATCAAGGAGTCAAGAAACTGTTTTTTCACTGTTTTGAGAACAGCTGAAAAGGACAAGTAACACAGAATAGCAGTCCTCATTCACATCAGCAAAGGCACTAGAGCCATGAGGTGTTTCCAATGTTGTATTCCCTATTGTGTTCCAAATATTCCAGGTATCCAATTATTTATTCTGTTGGGATGTCCTCTATGAGGTGTTCCATCTCATGCCAAGAAATTAACTTCATTTTTAATGGAGAGGAAATGCCACTACAGAAACATTTGTTAAACCAGAGAACTCTTTTGCAGCCCTTTCAACATACCTGAATGGATTCCTGCCCTTATCTTTAGGAGGGTGTTGGGCTTGTGTGGAATCTTAAAAGTCTTGCAGACATCCAGAAGGTCTAAAGCCATGCTTGCAATCTCACCAGCATGAAGGATCCCGTTCTCTTTGGGTACTCCTGACACCACCATATCTTAACACAAAAATGCAACTGTGTTAACCTTTGGCAGTAAACACAGATTTACCAAAGGATGCTGCCTAAGTTAGAAAAAAATAAAGCCCTATTCCTTTATATCCTGTGGCACAGTTGTGCCCGCTGAACAGAGAAAGGCAGAAACAAATGAAGGATAGGGTAACAGCTCATATGTGTAATCGCCCTAGTTCTGAAAAATGTTGGATTTCTTTCTTACTTCTAAGATTTATTTCTCCTAGCCTTCCTCCTCCCTCCCTCCATTGAGGATGCTTGAATTGGGACAGGTAGTGGGAAAGTGGCTGTTCAATACCTTTTGTCTTTGGGCAGATATTATAGAGAAATGATTCCCACTAGGCATTGTCCTATGCTTCCTACACTAACTCTTACTGTGTAGAATAAGAGACTGGTCTCTTCAGAATCCCTTGGGTGCATTTAGTCAGGAATTTTATGCTCCTGAATGTGCTCAACCATGCCACAAAAAAAAAAAAAAAGCGGAGGTTTTTTCCACGTCTCTTATAGGAATTCCTGTCTGTCTCATCTGAAAATCCTGCTAGATTCTGCTAGGTTTTTGATGGCAGTCAATAAAAATTCCCATGGTATCAAATAGAAAGCCATTTTCCTAAAAACCCAAGCCAAGTCACTACAGAGTATTAGGAGAGAGAAGGTTGTAATGGCTTTTGCAAAAAAACCAGATAATAAACCTTATGGAATGGCATCTATGCTCCCATGTAGAAGGTAAATTTCTCAGTTGTGTTCCTGTGAAACAGAAGTTGCCAACTGGAATTAATCTGTCGTGAAGGTTTAAAGTGAGACGCTATAGGTCACAGGAACCAAATAAAACAGCAGCAGTAGTTTAATCAACTCATTTGTACCATCCACAACATTCATCAGTTGTGGAAATTATGAAAAGTATGCAGGAAGATGTTCCTAAAATTTTCTAGGACTCTGCTAGGATTTCTCTCCTAATTGTCTGGGTTGCCTTCCCAGCGGTAATAAGCTTTCCAAATCTCCTTCATCTGTTCTTCCTTATCCTCAAGTCAATCTCTATCCTGATGAAATACCCCATCATTGCCCCATCATTGTCCACTGCTCAAGGAACTTACAGGCATCTCCTATTGTCTCCACCTTATAGACATCATAGTTATCTATGATTTCATCAAAAGTGGTATAAAGTTTGTTGAGAAGACCTACCACTTGGTAAGGTGTGCTGTAGCTGGACAGCTGAGTGAAGCCGACAATGTCACTGTTAAAACACAACAAAAAGAACATACTCATCCACTGCCTTAACCACTGCAGATCAGTAATCCTAAGGACACAGTAATAATTTATCAGTTGAACTACCTCAACCATCTCTTTTTCAGTATTTCTTTCACTAAGAATCTTACAGAACAGTTTTGTCTTCAAACATTTACTTAAACTGAAAACAGATTCCTTTCATTTAAAAAGATAGACTGACCTAAGTCTTTCTGCTTACTAATGCAGTAAAACATCTTTTACAAATAGACTTTAATCTGTGACAGACTAAGTAGTCTTAAATTTTAGGTTACATACAAATTAAAAAATGGAACTTAATATCTATCCATTTATGACAAGAGAAGACATGCAATTTGTATGTTGCTTCATGCACACATAACAAGTCAAAGACTGCAAATCCACATGGACTCTAAAGATAGAAAAATTACCTTTACACACCGAAATGCTAGAAACTGTACTTAGGCCTCTATCATGAAACATACGTGTATGTGTCTGTAACACACATAGAGTGATATACTGCTGTGTGTTAGAGTTTCACAGTAACCTCATTTTTTATTTAAGTAGTTATAATGAAAAACGGAGAGGTGTCATAATTTGGAAAGACATTCATTTGCAGAGTCAAATATTGCCACCGGGTATGATAAACGGCAGTTGAGATAGAAACTCTGTACTTGGTTAGGAGCTTCACTTCCACTAGGAGCTTAGAAGTCTCGTCAGCAGGAGCCAGTTCAAATCCTATCTTTCATTTTTGTTTACCTGAAAAAGATGGTGGCACTTAAGTAACTCTGAGCTTGTGCATGTTTTCCCTGCCTGAGATCATCTGCTACTTGCTTTGGCAACATACCTGTTGTAGAAAGTAGAAAGTTGTTATTCTTTTGACCTGGATAAAAGCACACAATAAACAGAACATGTTTATTTTAGGGTATAAAAGCAATGTTTGCAAATGTGAAATATTCTGGAGGTGAAAGCACTCTTTAGCATCAAAGTCTGCTCTGCTGTAACGTGAGAATTCACAGTAAATCTCACTGATAACAAGTCCAGATTTTTCAGATGACCCGTAACTTTCAGTTCAAACAAATCAATATCTATACATTCCAAATCAAAGTAAGATTAGATTCTAACAGTGTGACTTGAGTTATTACTCACACCTTTGTCAAGTCTTTGCTAGCATTTTTTTCCTGTGTTAGGTTTGTTTACTCTCTCTTCTCTGAGTTTTTTTCATCTTCTTTATTTCTCCTACCTTGCACTTTTCACAGTCTTTTCATTTTTCTGTCCTATATGTTTTATCTATTCCTTTATTGCTTTTTTTTCTTGCAGAATTCCAGAAGATACACTGCCATCAAAAGTAACCTCAGTTCAAAAGCAAGTTCTCACTGTTTATAACTGTACAGAAGGACTACCAAGCAAGATGAAAGAGAGAGAACTATGGTTTCTGAGGTCATATCTCTCAGATGAGTGCACTGATTTTTAGGGGAAAATACGAAAAGCAGCTAAATATCTTCCCAGCTTTGCAAATATATTAATTCATTGCCAACTAAATGTTATCTATTAAATAATAACATATCAAACCATTTCTGTTTGTAATTACATTGTTAAAATCAAATTATTATTGAGAAGAATATCTAGTATTTTTGCTATACAACTTACTATACAACAGACGATCAGTCTTCTGTTTTTCAAGCATTAAATCCTGGGTTCTCTCAGAAACTGGTGTCTCCAGATGTTTGCTATATTTCTCCATCTAAATAACACAAAGAATTGCATAAAACAATCCTTTTACTGAAACAGATTCATAGTTGGATAGGATTTAAGCATTTTAATGATTCTGCTTTGAAATCATTCAGATAAGCAAAGGCTCAGGTCAGAGATAGCTGATTTTTTCATACAAAATCTAACGATCAGATTTTTCCCTAGGTAAATTTATAATTCTAGATTTGAGATAGTTGCTTACATGTAAGAGGACAGAAGCAAATTCCAGACATTTCAAAGTCTGTGTAAACAGTAGGTGTCAAATCCAATGCAGAGACCAAGCTGCAGAAATGGATTAAAATGTTACCAAAACCAAAAGTACCTAAGTTTCGGTCTTCTACCAAAAGCTCACAATGCTGTTTCATAAGCTATCCTGCTATGCTAGGCTATGTTTTTTGCTATTCCTGTGGCTGCAGGAATCTCTTTTCTCTGCTGACGAGTTTAAGATACTCTGCTCAAAATGCAACTGTAAAAATGCTATTTGCGGCACATAGGGATTCTGTAACACCTCCCCCCTGCCTCCCAGAGCCACTGGAAAAGGGGAATATAGTTTCCTGCAAGTACATTAAGAACAAACAGCATTTGACTGAAGAAACAAGTGTTCAACCCCAAAGAAGTTGAGAAAGCTGGGAAAAACTGACAGAAATGGAGTGAGAAGGAAAGCTGGGTCTCAAGCAGAACTGCCGCTACAATCAGCCCACCAGAGGTAAACGAATGGCACTGGATTTTCTTATCAAAATACCCCATCAGTGGGTATGAGATCAAAAAACAAACCTGTAGGATGAAGGTGAAAGTTACTGCAAGTAAGCAGATGGACTTCGATTGGATTAAAAAACTAAGTTTACCAGAGTCATCATCATGTCAACAGGGCTAATTTTGTTAGGACTCATCTTGTACAACATTTTCTTGACTTGTTCAAATGTAGGCCTTTGGGCTGGATTATTTTTTCTGCACCTTCTGATTAACTGCAGCAGGGCAAGAGAGTGAGAAAAGCAAACAGTCTTTTGTCATTCCAGGCACAGGCAATGTTTCAATTAATATTACTGTTTTCTTGGAGCAAATTGTGCATGTGAAGCCCTATCTGCAGCTGGTGAAGAGTGGCAGAGCTATACTGAGGTCTCTGGATTTCTGTAGTTTTATGATGAATGAAGGAAGTTAGTTCATTAAAATGCTACTGTAGGAAACCACTGATCAGATGCTCATGTTCCTTCTGCCAGGCACTGCTTAAGACAATGTATTGTCCACTGCTTTTAGACAGTGTTATGCTGTTGTAGTCACATAGTGTTTTCAGAGTACATAAATTCACAAAAGATTAAAATCTCAACTACTTCTTAACAATGTTAACTCCTGACTAAAATTCAGTGCTGCTTACGAGAAGTTTGTTACACTGAGGTTGCTACAAACCACCAAAGGATATAGCTCTTAAGCTGAATCAAGGATGCCACAATCTTGTTCTCATTTAATTGAACTGGGAGGGAGTATACTTTGTTTTATTAGGCAGTTTAAGGCTACTGAACACATAGACCTTTTGCATGAGAATCAAAACAAGCTCATACTTTTCCTGAGACACATACTTCACTATTTGGAAGTTCTTTGCAATAAGCTAAATAGGTGTTACCAACATAAAATATGTGTGGAACTCAACACTTCATAATAAAATGAAAATGTAAAAAAACCAATGATGGAATATTAAAAACATCATTTAGTACACTGACAATTTGAAGAGACAACTGAAACTTCCAATTTTTCAGAATGACAGGTTTTTTATTAAGGATATTAAAGAATTTCAGTGTGCTTTGATTGATATGTACTTCTTAACTTCTGACTCGTTTACATTCATCAAAGGTAATATCACCATAAAACTTCTGTGACATGTCTTAAATTCACTTTAATTAAGAATTTTTCTAAACAGTATGGTATTTTACTCACCTCTATGTAATCTGTTGGACATGGGCAAGAATTCTCAGCCTTTCCTTAATTCTGGCAAAGGTAGGCACCAAGAATATTCAGCTGAATGCACATCATCTTTCTAGAGAAAAAGGGATTAAGCAGTGTTGCAACAAGTACTGTGTTTTTCATACCACCTATTGAAAATATATTAATATAATCATAATTAATTTAATGATGTCTTCCCTGCCATTTCCAGATCAGCTTCTTCACAAAATACAAGATAGTACAAGATAAGAAAAAACCTATATAACCCATTCTAAACTTGGCAGCCTTGTCTAAAAGCCTCTTGAAGGCTGAAAGACTTTAATCCCTGTTTTTATATGATGTAAACAACTTTTGAAATGAATGCCTGGCAAGAAGCCACAAGGCCTACAGTGGTTGATCATCACAAACTGCCAGAAATGGAAGAATAGGAATTTCAGATTGTTGTTGTTAGAATTATTGTTAAGCAAGTTATTTCAAAGAGAACGTGGTTACATCTCCAGAACATCTGGTTTCAATTTCAAGGTAGATTTTTTGTGTTTGCCATTTAGCACTGATCACAAGATATGTGCTAAGAGGACATTTTCATTATGGAGAACAGCTCTTTTGCTCTTCTAGCATATTCTTACCCCTGCAAGACTCCACTGAAAGGGCTTGTGCACGACAGGAAAGAAAAGGAACAATAAGAGTTAAAGGAAAATGTTATGGCATTCCTTCTCCCTCCACTCTCTTGCTATTAAGCCTCACAGAGCTAACCAAAATCAGTTTGGGAGCTACATTATTTTTGTCATGCACACTTCTTTAAAGTCCTGAAGACTGGAAGATGCATGAGGAAGCCCTTACTGCTTATTTCACTGGAACTGAACTTGCACCCACAAAATCAAGAGGAAAATGCATGCTCAAAAAAAGAAATAAAAGGTGCAGTTACTTAGAGTTTGGTTTGTAACTTCAGCAGAAACAGAATCAAAGTTGTCATGCAAACTTCAAAGTTCATCTTTACTTACTGGTATAGGGTCACTTCTTGTGGCAATTTCTAGTAAAATGATGGCATAACTGCAGAAAAAAAAGCAAATAAAAATCTTAATGAAATATTAGTTAATGGAGTCAGTGATTTCTTTGTTCCATGATTTTTTATTCTTCCTCATTTTATGACTGAAAGCCCAGTATCACAAAAGGGAGGACTGCAACAGTGCTACAATCTGTTACTACTCTGTGTTTTCAGAGATCTGTCACTGATCATTTCATAGCAGTCTCAGAGATGAAGCATTTGAGTTTGATGGACAGCAAAGGAATTTTCTCTGGAAGAATTAATGGAATCCAGAGGGGAGATGAAACACAGAAACAGCTTTCAGTCCTAGACCGTTTCTTGTGGGAATCGGAGTCGAACGTTTTCCATTCCAAAGCCAGGCTCCAGGCTTGTACCGAAAAGCCCCGTAACGGTCACTTAAGGCAGTAAGCATTTGTCATGGCCTAATGTAGGCCAGAGTAAAACACAGAGCTTTTGATAAAAGGTAGTAATAGCTACTTTTTGGTAAATGTTATTAATAAACAATACTAATAAACATGCCTTCTTCTACTTAACTGTGCTGTACTACCAGAATTTCAATCTCTGGATGAGTTCCAGCTCTTTACATTCTGCTAGCTACCAAAGACACCAGGAAATAAATGACTTCTGCTGGGCTGGGAATGTGGCAAGAAAAATAGGAGAAAAGGGCCACTAAACATCTTGTAGTACCATTCTGCACTTCCCTCTTTCAAATGCTTTCAGCAAACTACTGGAAATAAGGAGACAGAGGAATTAACATTGTTTTGTAATAGGATACACCAAGAACACAGTGATCTTCCCACTTAATAGAGAAAATTCATGCAAGAAGCAATAAATATATTTTTTTTAAAAAAACCTAGTTCAATTAATTTGTCATTGGATTATTATTCTCTGAAAATTCAATTGTAATCCTGCTCATCTGAAAAGTGGTTGGATAGAAGCTACCCATCACTGGCAAGAATGAACCTGATAGCCAAATAAGCCATTGCAAAGTGACTTCCTATAAAGGCTTTCAAAAGGAAAGGGATGGAGCTACTCACCAGTGCAACCATTTCCGTTTCCTACCTCTACTCTTTCTCTGCAAACCAATATTGTTACTGTGTTTCTACAGCAAAATAATGTATTGATACTAACTACAGGATTATGGGATGCATATGTGCATTATGACGTCCTGAAAAATTCATGTTATTAATTTTTAAGGTATTGCTATTATTGAAAATAATCTACTTCTTCGTAAGAATCAGCAACAGCAACAAAAACACCACCACCAACAACAGATTGCTAGATAACAGCAGATTTTTACACCTTTTTTATCTACCAGTTCAGAGTAGCTCCTTATAAATCATTAGACCAACTCTGCATTTATATAATGTCAGTGAATTCAGTATTTGGTAATTAATCTACCTTTAAAGAGAAAATCCTGTGATACCTATGTTGTTCTGTATTCCTGAATCTATCCTTTTTAGAATACAATCAAACATACACCTTATGTGACCACAGAATTACACTAATTGTCATTAAAGAACATTCAACTTGAGATTAAGTGTGAGCAACAGGAAAAGTTAATTACCTGTAGATGTCTGTCATAGGATTGGGTTCGAAGTCTGAAAGGGAATGGATTTCAGGTGCTGTGTAAATCTGTATCAAAGGCTGCTGGTATGAGCTTGACCTCTCAGGAGAATCTTCTTTTCTGTATGACTGCAAACCATAATCTAGCATGGAATAAAACATTAAACAAACTATTCAGTGGATACTTCTCTGAAACACGTGTATTAGTAGACAGTAACACAACTATTATAATGAATTAATTTTCCCTATTTGAAATATGCATCTTAGTCTAAAATTATTGTGTGTCTGGTGGTCTTGTCCCTCTAAACCAACTGCAAATATAGGATCTGGAAACCAAGTATTTGGGTAAGACTGCATGACAGCAAGGAAGTTGAACTACATGGCCTCTTGCCATAAGAATTATTTTAAGATTTTATAAAATTATATTCAGAGAACAGGCTCAATCAGTGCAAATGTTAGCAAGCAAATGAAGGTTTCTGTTCTACTGGTCCCCTGATCCTTATCTGTGGTGGCAGGTTGCTAGAGTAATTTCAAGTTAGACAGACGAGAAATTCTGAAAATCAGATGGTGGGTTTGCACACCACTAGCTTCAGAAAAAAGGCAGCAGAAATGTGAAGCATCTTTGCAGCTGTACTTTTAGCCTAACATAGAAGAGATTCTTCACATGTGACTCAGGATTGGAGAGGAAAAAAACCAAACGACTGACTTCAGTTCTCTTTCTGATATAAACAGCACTTCGCTGAGTGTATGGTAAGGCAGCATGCAGACGTCTGGTTCTGTCTGCAGTGACCTCTAATTAAGATGGTCCTAGAGCTTCATTCTTTGTGTTGGGTCATTGGAGTTTTTCATATAGCTCCCACACTGGTTTTTTGTGAGTTTGTCTAACATTATGGCATCCACACAAACCATGAATATTTGAAGTCTTAACAGTGTTACCAGTTAACTTCTGAGCAATTTCACAGAAATCCTATTTAATTCAGAGGAGCTGTGCTAAGGTGATGCAGTTGATATAATCCAACGATCTCCATCTTTTATGCTTTCTCCAGAACAGGTTCTAAGCAAAGCAGGCAGTTCTGAAGGCAATAGAATACTAAAGGTGTTGGAGAAATGAGCACAGCCCTGTGTAGGAGCCTGAGTCATAAGATGAACCATTGAAATATAAATCTGTTGGTGCCATTTTTAAGATGTCTGTGGTTTATAGAGTGTGGTAACTACTTTGGAGAGGAAGTAGCAGAGATAATCATTGCTTTCATTCCCTCTGGCAGATACAAACTAAACAAGAATCTCCAGCAGCTTTCCTGTCCCCACAGGCACCAGTCTTACTGCACCAGGAGCAGACCAGACCTGCAGCTCTGTGTCTGAGAGAATACAATTCAGTTTTGTGTACAGGCCTGAAAAGTTCTGAGTTGAGTCTGCTTTTCTCCATGAAACTACCTTGTGTTCACCAATCAGTGAGTATTATCCCATTTTTTATAGCACTGCCCATGGCTTAAGGTTTTTCTCTCTGTATCAAAATTGAGAATAAGACAGAGTTTCTGCTCAGACTGATGTTGATAGACTCCATCATTTGTGGGATCTGATGTGTGCATCTGTGACACGTCATATGACTCGACATGGTAATGTAACATGAAACTTGCTTCAGCACGGGGCACTTTTAGTAAATTTCCACATGAAACGTCAACATAGATGTGCTTGGGACAAGTGAGTGTGAAATATATATGCATTAGTGGGTTAGCTGGACAGTTTTGAAAATTTTGACATTTTGTTTATTATATTTTCTTTACCTGCAACTTTACAAACCCATTGGTCATCTATCACGCAGTTAGTAGACTTCAACCGTCCATGATACATTTTGTGGTGGTAAAGATAGGCCATTCCTTGTGCAACATCAGTAGCAAAAGAAAACCTGAAAGACAAAAATCAATGAGCTAATATTTCCACTAAACCTTTACTCAAGAGTGGCCCCAAAGCCTACTGAAGTTGATAGAAAACCTCCATATTACTGCAGTACTTTTCAATTTGTGTCCCTGTGCTCATTTTTCCAAAACACTTAGGATAGGTTGCTGAAAGCCCTTAACTTCTACTCAGTTATCTGAGTCCACAGGCCTTTAGCCTCTTTTAAGAAACCTGAATTTCTTCTAGAAATTCTCAGTACCTTTGTATCCTTGAGTGTGCTTTCAAACGTTTACAAGAGAAACATTTTTTTATTAACTTTCTCACTTTATCTGGAGGGTTTCCTCCCTTACAATCTTTCTCTTTGCTGAAGGCAAACATGAGGCAGAAGTAGAA